GCAAAACCTTCAACATGAACGTCAAACTTCTGGTTATTAGCTCTCAATATTCCTTCCAATATTTATTCCCTCTGTGTCATGTCCTTGATAGAGTCGGACTCTGAGGGAGAGGAGGAACATCCGACAGGGAGTGGAGGTGTGGCTCCGGAGGTTGTGGAGGAGGCTGGGGAAGGGCAGAGGCCAGCTGGGCAATCAGAGGAAGAATCAGGGCCACCCTCTCTTCAACCTAGGACACACAGGGAGGGACGGCGAAGGAAACAACTTGTCTTACGAGAGAGGACGTGGCCATGATCCCCCTCATTGGTTGCAGCTGGGGAGAACAGTATATAAGAGAGATGGTTAAAACACAGTGTTGCCAGAAGCAAAGGGTGTTTTATTTTGGGCTGAAGTTATCTTGGTTTGCGTCCTTCCAACAGACTGTGCCTTGTTATCTCCTTGAAGGTGGTAATTACTTATCCTGGTCCGTTGTGGAATTTTCTTCATTGTAGTTTGTTTTGGGTTTTTTATTTCACCTCTATCTGCTCATTGTTCAGACATTCTTTTGAAGACTATTTTTGAATAAGTTTTCTCTCCAACTGAGAATTATTGAACAGTGGGGCCAAGTTGGAGGCATTAAAGGACATTTATTTACATTTTGGATTTTGTTACGTTGTGTTATACTGCGGGTCATCACACATTAGCTGTTGCCAGAACAAACAATGGTCTTTTTGTGGCCATTTCAACGCTATTGACCAAGGGCACAAAATGATTAATGTACTCAGTTTGTTTTAGGCAAGAGACCCACACTAGGGTTTTAAATGAATATGGAGTAAAATGCTAATATAGATAGTCCTTAACTTACAGCAATTTATTCAGTGGTGGGATTCAACCAGTGTAACAAGCTTGGAAAGGTGTCTTCGGCAGCGCAAATTCTTCTCATTGGCAAGTTCTTGGGTAGTTAATAATCACAACAGAGCCCAAAATTCCTGTTGCTAAGTGAGACAGTTGCTACGTGAGGTTTTCCCCATTTTGCAACCCTCCTTGCCACAGCTGCTAAGCGAATCAATGCAGTTGACTCTAGAAAGGTGTCAGAGTATATTCATGAGCAAGGTAACAAGGTCAGCCAACGAACAGGCATAGCAACTCAATCAGCCAATGAGGACAGTTTAGAAACTGAAACTAGAAGTAGCCTAGGGGTGGCTCTATATTAAGCTCTGCAGCTATGTTGAGCTCTGAGTTTGTCTATTGAAAATAAAACTGCTTCTCTCCTCTGCTGTGTGTCTTGCTTGCCTGCTGAACTAAAGTGAAACTGATGTCTGTTTCTGAGCTGCTGAAGTTGCTGCTGAAGCTCTGAACTTGTAACATGTTTGCTGCTGTTTGAGTTTGCTTCATGTTGGAGAAATCTACAACTGGTTTGTAAAATCTTCTTATGTTTATAAAGATGTTAAATGAAGCACCAGCCATCTGTGTTTATTTTTCTGGTGCTGAATTAACACTGCAAAACTCTGAATTAAAGGATACAGAGAAGAGCAATCAGGATGATGAAAGGACTGGAGACTAAAACATATGAAGAACGGTTATAGGAAGTGGGCCAGTGGTGGTATTCTACCAGTTCGGCCCGGTTCCGGCGAGCCGGTAGCAGCGATGAGCAGCGGAGACCCAACCGTTTCTCTCCACCACTCAGCTGTTGGGCCCACCCGCTTGCCCGGGCTCCCATACTCACCTTTATCCGCTGAATTTGAAGGCGCAGCTGCTTTGCACGGCACAGAATAGTGTCGTGCGGCAGCTGCTGAAGTGACCAGGATCGTGCAGGCTTACAGAAGGTGAGTTAGAATGCCTCTGTGCCTGCACAAATGCCTCTGCACCAAGTGCACGTTTGGCACTCGCATGTACACAAAGTGTGTGCACTTGCGCAAAGCACGCCCACCAAGCCACACCCACCGAACCAGTGGCAAAAATATTTGAATCCCACCAGTGAACTGGGCCTGGCTAGTCTAGTGAAGAGAAGGACCAGGGGACACAGGAGAGCAGTCTTCCAATATTTGAGGGGCTGCCACAGAGAGGAGGACGGGGTCAAGCTATTTTCCAAAGCACCCGAAGGCCAGACAAGGAATAAAAGATGGAAACTGAAGAAGGAGAGATTCAACCTGGAAATAAGGAGAAACTTTCTGACAGTGAGAACAATCAACCCATGGAACAGAAGTTGTCTTCGGAAGTTGGGGGAGCGCCATCACTTGAGGCTTTCAAGGAGAGAGGATTGCCTCTATGATGCAAGAAGCTGTGTGAATAGCAAAAGAGTCTGGACTCTGTTATTGTGCATGTCTGTGCATAAAAATTAATCCCCTATTTCCTATAAGCTCAGTCTCCATTTCTGTGTATTCCGCCTTCTAAGGAATGACACGATGCCACAGGCTCCGATAGAGTGAAGCACCTCTGTAAACGGAAGAATAGTTGCATCTATCGCCGAGAAGCAGTGTCCATGGAAGGGTCTAATAAGTAGCCATCCTGTACTCTGAACATAGCATAGAGTCGTAGTAGAGAGACCAAAGGCTCAATTAAAAACCAGTTTTATTTCATCGTCACACCCAGAAGATGCTCTCCATCTATGCAGAATCCTGGGCCCCCAACGAAAGGTTGAGGAAATTCAGAATTCTCTTAGTCACGGTTACATAATTCTGAGTGTGAAACCACCTATGTACGAGAGATGCTGGCTAACCTTATATTCTGTATTAGGGAGAGGTATAGACAGAGGTGGGCTGCTGGGGGTTTGGGAGAGCTCCTGGCTAAGAGTCTGTGCAGTTCGGAGACCCCCAAATCCCACTCCTGGCTGGCCCCGCCTACCCTGCCCCTCCCCTCCCAGAAGCCCCCACATGGCCCGTTTTGGATCCAGGTAAGTGCAGGGCGCGCATGGAGGCTCGGGGAGGGCAAAAAACAGGCCTCCTGGAAGTTGAGGAAGGCTGGAAATGGGCCTGTTTCCAGCTTCCAGAAAAGCCTCCAGAGCCCAGGGAGAGCAAAAACGCCCTCCCTGCCATGGTGCAGGAGGCCAACTAGGCCACGCCCACCATGGCCACGCCCACCCAGCAACCGGGCAGAGACTCCATTGCTAAAATTTTTGAAGCCCACCCCTGGGTAGAGTCTCATCTTTATTAGTTAGTGCGGGCCTGCTACCCACTCTGAAGAGATCGTCTCTGATAATTAACTCCAGGGTAGGCTGGTTGGTAACTAATCCTAACTTGTCAGAATTTTGCAGCGTTATTTGCAACCTTCATCAGTGGAGGCTTTCAAGAAGAGATTGGGCGGCCATTTATTAGAAGTAGTGTGGGGTGGGGGGGTTGGACTAGATGACCTACAAGATCCCTTCCAACTCTGTTAATCTGTACTCTGTTATCTAACACAGGAAAGTGTGAATAAATGGCTAAAGCATCTTTATTTTTATTTTATTTTATTTTTGACCCAAGACGATCCTTTTAGAAAATATAGAACAATGGAAATGGAGGGATTGTGGCCAATTTAAGAGAAACTACACTGCCAGGAGTTCTGAATGACATACATTTACAGCTTGTTTTTATGGTGCCCTTAGCATTTCAGTTGGTTATATAAATTGTGACCTAATGACATTTAGAGCAAAAGTCGAGCCTATAAGTAAGCCTGAGTCTGGGAGGAAATGTCAAAACAAGTTTATGGTTTTGTGCAAAAAAAAGAGTCAAAACTAGGTCCCTTTGTAAAATAGATTGAAGCCAACTGTCGGGGGATTGCAGTGTGTGTGTGTGTGTGTGTGGGGGGGGAGATCTAAAAGGTACATTCACTCCCACCTTTTCCAGTAAAGAAAATAGGGACCATAAGTCAGTCCCAAGATAAAAAGAAAAATCTTTTTTTAAACTTCTAAGGGTGGGTGATGGAAAACACTGACACTCAACCAGTGGAACAGCTTGCCTTCAGAAATCTCCATCACGGGTGCTCCATCCCTTGGAGGCTTTTAAGAAGAGACTGGACAGTCACTTATCTGAAGTAGTATAGGTTCTCCTGCTTGAGCAGGTGCTGGACTAGAAGA